GCCGTAGTAGGGATGGATGATCGCTGCGTCGGGGAAGAAGATGCTTTTGTTGGAACGGTGGAGCTGGAGCACACAAAGGGCGCCCGACTGTTGAGCCCGCCGGGAGCTGGAGCACACAAAGCACAAGTGTCGGAGGCTTGGTGTTGGACAAATGGGGAGGACCTGTGAGCTCACCAAGCTCAAAGCTCCACCATATATATATATATATATATATATATATATATATATATATATATATATGAGCAGCCGGAGACAGAACCCAATTTCTGTGGACGTTTCTCGATTGGTACTGTTGTTTCCGCGAAACACCGTCCGGCCGGAAGGGAAAGGGAGAAGAGTCAGCAAGATCAAAACCCGATTTTAAAAGACCAAGTCTTACTGTCACCGTCCGCATTGATGGGCGAGCGCTAATCACGGTCCCGTGGCATAAATGGTACTCCCTCTGTAAACTAATATAAAAGCGTTTAGATTACTACTTTAGTATTCTAAACGCTCTTATATTAGTTTACGGAGGGAGTACTTATACCACACCGCAAACGAGAAACCACTCCAACTATGACAGGTTTTCCTTCCATCCAAACCTTATCTCATCCCTCTTCGCCCTGCGCTCTGTGATTTCAAAGAAGGGAAATATCTATAAAGAATCGATAAAATTAAATACGAACATGGTAGCATCATGATCATTATCATAGCAGCAACTATTCATCATATAACTTCTCATAAACAAGTCACAATTCATTCATAATATTGAATTAAAACCTTTGGGATAATTTGGATGCTTGTTGATTTGATTCTGTGCAGAAACATAAACTTTTTTGTGCAGTAATTATTATTTTTTCTCTGTAATAGAGCGTCATAAACTGCTGAAATTTTTACACAGTATTGGTTTATAAATTGATGGTCAATTAATACAGCGCATGCAAATTGAGTGGACGTGAGGGCGGAAGAAAGACATTATTACTCCACTGCGCGCATGCGAGTAGTTAAATCATGGGTTGCTAGTAGTACTTCCATTGGTCTCCTTCGTATTTTGTGCCAATTTTTGACAGTAAAATAATATTTACGCATTTGAGCAATGTAGTACTTGAAATTTATGTTCCGCTAACCTCGTCGGGAGCCGTTTCGGGCCTCGAAACCAAAACAATCAATTAATCTTTACCTTGTTCCCATCACATTCGAAAGCCTGCTCACACCTACTAGTATGTACACCTGAACGTGTTCCCACTATGCAGGTATTAGTACTAGTGCTAGTACTTAGGTTATAAAAAGGGGAACTACCTAACCAAAAATTACTCTACCTTTCCTCCTCATAAGTGCTTCTTCTTCGTCCGTCGTTGCCATGGCCGGTGAGCAGAGCTCTAGGTCGAGAACTACTCGTAACAAGGGAGCGGCAACCAAGGCTACGAAAAAAAGAGGGCTCGCCGCCACGCAGAGACCTCGAAAGATCTCTCACGGGAAGGCGATGGCTCCAAGGAGCGCCCTAGCCGCAGAGGCGAACATGTCGAGCCGGCGGAGCTGGAGTCGTTATCCCTCGACGGCATGCCCGATCAGCTTAATAAGCAACTCAATAAGCCGAAGAAGTTCATCCAATGCTTGATGGAGTTGCTGAAGGAGAGCCTCGACGATATGCCCGCTGAGCTCAATAAGCAGGGGGAGTTGACCGCCGGCTTGGTGATGTTGCTGAAGAAGAGCATTGCCTCGGAGAAGAAGGTGACCGGTGAAATCCTACGACTTCAGGAGGACAAGGTGAAGCTCTACCACGAGATCGACATGTTGAAGGAGAAGAACGCCGGCTGGAAGAAGCTGCATGAGAATAATAGTTCCTCGATGAAGATGCTGCAGGCCCTCGTCATGGAACAGAAGGAGGAGTTGGCGAAGCTCCGCATCGAGCACCCGGCTGCTGTCAAGATACGTAATGCGATCGTGGAACAGATGATGAAGGCTCGCATCAAGAAATCCCGCATCATGGACAGAATGAAGAAGATGGCATAGGAGACGCGCAAGGAGATGGAGGTCGTGGAGGCGATGAAGAAGCAGTTATGACTCCGGGGTGAATTAGATCATTTGGGGTGACAATCTTCCTTCTTCTTTTGCTCATGTGTTTCATCTTTTGCGTTGGGTGTTTCGCCGCACGTGTCACGTTCTCTGCGAGGCATGAATAGAACAATGCTTTTTTTAGGGAATGAATAGAACAATGCTAACAATGAGATGACTAGCAAATTAGATCATTTTTATCGACATATAGCACTGGGCTGCCGTGTTTCGTGCTCCTCTGTCGCAGTACTACTCCAGTGGAAAACTTGAGTATACCGCACGGTTCTTTGCTCCTCCTCAGGTCGTCGGCGCATTTATACGAACAGTCAAATCACAAGGCCCTGCCTTCCAGCAGTAATGAGCCGTCAAATCACAAAGGCCCTCGCCTCTCGTGAAACCGATCAAGCTAGACTGCCCCGCCCTCTAGCCTTTTAAAAAATGTATACTTTTGTACAGCAGTAGTATCGATGGATTACGCCATGGAGCAAAACTTGAAATTAAAAAAAAAGGTGGTACATATAGAGAGCGCTCGTCGCCAAATTATGCATATAGTACTATTAAAAAGGCTAGTCACAATAATGGTGTCCAACACAACCCACCCCTCAAATAAAACTAAGCATCCAGGAATTCTTTGACAGAACTAAGCACCCTGAAATTCTTTAACAACTAAACTGCTGGCTATATGATGTTGGCCATATATATTGCACGTATATAATGTGAAGAAACGAGTGGTAGTACTATACCAACTAAAAGATGAAATGTAAGAAATACTAGTATGTACGTACCGAAGAGTTAAAGTAACGAGAAGAAACATAACATAGTTCCGCTGGGGGCTCAGCACAACACACCCCTCAAATTAAATTAAGCACACCTGAAATTAAACTTTGCAACTATTTCGGTAGACACTGCATTAGAAGTTTAGAACCACCATGAGCAACGACACTGCCACCTTGCTCGGAGTCCTCGTCCACATCCTCGACTTCGTCCGTGTCCCTCTTCCTCTTGGACGATACTTCTTTGCTTGAACCGCATACTTGGCCGTTGCTCTTCATCCAACCCTTGTAGATATTGAAGCAAAGGTATTCATCCATTGCAGCGTAGTGTATGTGGTCTATATCTAGTACATTTCGCTGCCGTGCATAACGATGAAACGTGTATGGAGGTTTCTCCAGTTTACCGTATGAAGGATGAACCATGGCTCCTGCCAGGATCAGCATTAAAGGCTGACGAGAGGACACCTGCCGATTCTTCTGGAGGTCGAAGGTGTTGCCTACAACGAGGCCTATCCGACCCAGGACTTCTTTGTCGTTACCAAAGTCTATAGTAACGAATTTGACTAGGTTGCTCTCGAAAAAGTCCTTAAAATTCAGGCATTCAACGTCGGCATGGCATATGTGGTAGACCAAGCATAAGTCATGCACGCAAACCTGGATCACAGCGGGCTTCTTCCTCTCTTCGTTCTTTAGATCCTTCTCTCGTCCCAGGACCGTGCTGTACTCAACATCTAGCCCAGTGACTGTGGCGACCGGTTCTCCGGGTGTTAATTCCCAGAAAATGGCCCTTGTGCTCACCAGCCCCAGGATAACTGTTAGCTGATGAGGCACCAACTTGATACAGAAATTCCAAGCAAAATACAAAATATGTAGCACAAGACCATTCTGGCCTGTGAGTACAACAAATGGTTTCTAGTGGTTGATGGCGGAAGCGGGTTGTGAAACATCAGTGTCTATGGGACTCCATTTCCCACGGGAACAGCTGACCAGGTTAACTCCTATCTTCACGGGGCTGCTATCACCGTTGCTTAGGTTCCGGGGCTGTCATCACGGTCGCTCCTCTCCGCGCAAGAAATCTGGCCAAGACAATAGTCAGGGACAAGCCAGTGAGTACTTTGAATGTACTCGCAAACATTATGAAAACGGGTATAATATGGCAATGATGTGCTGAAAAATATTTTATACTCATGACGTCAGTCACAAAAATAAATCTCTGATGCATGTAAGTAGGTTATTATAAAATTGCCATAACA